ATTTATTTTTATGCATAATTAAAAAAATATTAGCATTCAGCTCTCCTTCTCTATCAAGTCTCAAGTAAATGGTTTTATTAAATGACGGATATAATACGTATATGAATAAAGAGCCCCCCCCCCCCTCTTATTTAGTTTAGTTAACGTGACCATTAAGTTGACACATCATCATCATTTCAGCCTGTAGGCGTCCACTGCTGAACATAGGCCTCCTCTAGGGATTTCCACTTTGATCGGTTTGAAGCGGCCTGCATCCTGCAGTCCCGCGACTTTGGACAGGTCGTCAGTCCATCTCGCGGGTGGTCGCCCCACACTGCGTTTTCCAACATGCGGTCTCCACTCGAGAACTTTGCTGCCCCATCGGCCGTCGGTTCTGCGAGCTATGTACCCTGCCCATTGCCACTTCAGCTTGCAGAGCCGCTTGGCTATGTCGGTGGCCTTCGTTCTTATGCGGATCTTCTCAACCCCGAGCATAGCCCTCTCCATTGCCCGCTGAGCGACGCTCAGTCTCTTTAGGAGGCCCATAGTTAAAGACCACGTCTCGGCACCGTAGGTCATCACTGGCAGTACGCATTGGTCAAAGACTTTCGTCTTCAGACTCTGTGGTAATCTGGATGTTAGGACGCTGCGTAGCTTTCCGAACGCTGCCCAACCGAGTTGGATCCGTCGAGCAACCTCTCTCTCGAAATTGGACCTACGTAGCTGCACTACTTGTCCTAGATATACATATTCGTCAACAATTTCGAGGGTCAAGCTCTCCACAAACACTGGGGTGGGCACTACATGGGGTAGGTTAAGTTGACACAGTTGGTATTAATCGGAGTTTGTTCACAATTTCACAGGTTTTATATTTTTTCATTATTTATTTTCACATATTCCGCCAGCGGGATCCTGATTATTTTTCTGAAATAAAAGTAGCTCAGATAAGTGAATGAATGAATGAATGAATGAAATATACTTTATTGTACACAACCAACGGATATTGAAGAGTCAACTAAAATAATACAAAACTGTACAATAGGCGGCCTTATCGCTAGGAAGCGATTTCTTCCAGGCAACCTAGTAAAAGGAAATAGTAAAAACAGTAGCATTGGGTAACGGTGTACACTGAATTAATAAGAGAAACTTATAAGTCAAAATATAAATACATATTAATAAATTATACATAAATACACATGCAAACACGATATATAAATATATACGTTATAAATAATGTATAAGTATTTAGATATAAGTTGACAACATCGAGGAATGGAACACAATGATTAAGGAGGCATAAAATGTTTTCTTAAAAGTCGCTTGAAAATAGGTAGGGATTGTGCCCGCCTAATATGTAGTGGGAGAGAGTTCCAGAGCCGAACAGCTTCCACAGAAAAGGATTTGGAGTAGAAAGATGTACTATGGGGAGGAATTCTGAGGATTAAATTGTCATCGGAGCGGAGAGATCGATCTGGGTGAGAATCACAAAGATACTCAAATCGCTTCTTAAGATAAGGAGGGGTGGTTGGATTGAATAGAACAGAGTATAAGAGCGAAAGAAGGTGAGTATTCCTGCGAAGGCGGATTGGAAGCCACTTGAGCTTATTTCGGAATTCAGAAATGTGGTCATATTTACGAAGTCCAAATATGAACCGTATGCAAAGATTTTGGATGCGCTCAAGTTTATTAAGTTGTTCAACGCTTAAGTCTAAGTAACATGTATCGGCATAATCTAGAATTGGTAAGAGGAGAGATTCCGCGAGCGCAATTTTGGTAGGTATAGGTAAGAAGTAAATCAATCTACGAAGAGAATTAACTGCTGCAAACATCCTTCTACTCACTTCACTAACCTGAGGAACCCAAGAGAGAAATTTATCAAACACAACACCTAGATTTTTAACCGTATCGCTATATTGCAATTGGACCCCGTCAAAAACTATACAAGGAAGATTAGCCCAGTCAATACGTGAAACCAATCTTTGGCTGCCTATAATAATAGCTTGTGTTTTAGATGGATTTACCTTCAGTCCATAAGAATTGCTCCATTCTACAATGGTGTTTAGGTCTTTATTAACTGCATCTATTGTCATGGTTAAATCAGGTAATTTGGATTGAGCGTAGACTTGGAGATCATCAGCATACAGATGGTAGAGAGAAGTTAAATGTTGAGTGATTGAACTAATGAAGATTGAGAATAGGAGAGGAGACAACACGCCACCTTGCGGTACCCCGGCATTTATCGGACTCCAGTCCGAATACTTCTCCTCGATCTTAATCCGTTGCCGGCGCCCGTGCAAGTAACTGTGAAACCAGTCAACGACCTTAGGAGATATGTTTAGAGAAGTGAGAATGGCTAAAAGTAGCTCATAATCAACATTATTGAAAGCGTTGCTGAAATCTAGTAAAGTCAATACTGTTACACACTGGTTATCCATACCGAACCGGATATCATTAGTAATTTTTACTAATGCAGTAGTCGTACTATGACCAGAACGGAAACCGGATTGAAACGGATTTAAAAGGTTGGATTTGGAAAGAAATACAGTCAATTGTTTATGAACAATGCGTTCAAAAACTTTTTGATAGAAATGGTAAAATGGAAATAGGCCGATAATCAGAGAAACTGGAAGGATTCGTTTTTTTAGGAAGAGGAATTATCTGTGCATCCTTCCAGGAAGTAGGGAAGCAACCGCTATTGATGGAATGATTAAAGATAGACACAATGACAGGAGTTAGAAAATCGAGAAGAGGAGTGATCATTTTACGACTAATGCAGTCAGAACCAACAGCATCAGAGCTAGCTTCCATAATACTTCTCTTAACATCACTGCAGTCGATTTGACTAAATACGAAAGCGGGATCATCAGGGGTGGGTAAAGCTAAAATTTTATTTTTAGTATTCTGTTTTAAGGTACTATCAATAGTACAAAATGAGGAAAAATGCTGATTGAGCTTATTTAAATCGAAGGTACTATAATTTGAGGGACAATTTCTATTTGCTTTCCCAACCCCAAGGGATTTCAGAAATTTCCATACTCTTCCGGAATCTTTTTCCTCGAGTACAGATTTATGGATATGGCGTCGTTGTTCATCTCTACACAATCTGTTGCATCGATTCCGAATGCTTGTGTATTTAATGCGGTTGGTTTCACTTGCGTTGGTTTTATATTTAGCTTTGGCTATATTCTTTTTGTGTTGTAGCGTTTTTATATCCTCAGTTAGCCAAGGAGCAGGAAGATGTTTAATTCTTACTGGGCGTATTGGAGCGTGGGTATCATAAAGCTTCATTAAAAGAGAGTTAAAAATTTCAACCCGTTCATCAGTATTGTCCCCAGTAAGGACTTCAGCCCAGTCAATCTGAGATGCATCCTCTCGCAGAAGATCAAGGTTCATACCACCAAAATTACGTTGGAGAAGAATTCTAGATTTAGCTTTGGGTGGGCGTATTTTATAGGATAAATATAGCAAATCATGGTAAGAAAAGGCATCTGCAGGACATTGACCATGTTTCAATACAAAGTCTACTGAGGAAACTAGAATAAGATCAAGGAGAGATGGAGAACAATTTGGGAAGTTGTGCGTTGCCGATAGAGGAAGAATATGTAGATTTGCTGCCTTGACTAAAGAATTGAGACGGAATGCATGAGAGTCATTTTTTAACAGGCAAGTATTAAAATCACCCATAATAATCGAGTGCTCATATTGTGGGATAAACATGTCTAACAGATTTTCGAGTCCTGTAAAATAATCTATTGTGAGACTAGGGTTATAATACACACCGAGCAGTAATTTCAGGTTGGATAACATAACCTCGATAAATAAATGCTCCGCCCCTGGTATAGCCTGTTCTTGCGATACACTGATCAATTTAAAAGGTATGTGGGATCGAAGATAAATGCCAACACCTCCGCCCAACCCTACTGTTCCGATCATTTCGTATGAGGTGAAAGCCAGGAAGAGCATAAGATGTGGAGGATAAACAAGGTTTTAACCATGTTTCGGAGATTAGAATAGCATGGATGTTCTTGTTATCAAAAGACGAAAGCATATCTGGAAAATGTGCAGGAATACTCTGAGCATTAATATGAACAACATTAAAATTTTTCAGAACATCTGAGAAATGTAAATCAAGGGTTTCAGAAAGAGAAGGGAGACTATGGAAACTGCCGTTACTACTCAATCCATCAGTGGAGGAAAATGAGAAAAAGGAGTCGTCCGAGCTTATATCTTTAAATAACATGAATATATAAACATAAACAAATAATATACTATAACAATAAAATTACCTATATAAACTACTACGCAAATTTGTAAGCTTTTATACCTACCAACAAGTTTTTAGTTTTTACACATTCAATCGAAGTATACACATTGCCAGCAAAGAAAAATAAAATTCAAGGTCATCATAACACGATTAGAAAATGACTAATTACAAACTAAGCTATGTGCCGGTGAAGGTCCCGTTAAAACCGGCGGGATAGTATCAGCGATTAGCCCGAACAACAATTATTATATATAGACAAACTATTATTATTTAAATTGTTTTTTTGGCACACTTACCACGTGTAAATTCGTATGCTTTAAGTAAAAAGCTATTATTTCAAATACACGTTTCAATTTTATTTATTTCCACCGATATGTAGACAGCAAACATTTCATGAAGAAACTTCTTTAATCTAGAAAATATCTATATGAATTGGCTTTGTCAGACAATCAGGCACACGATTACATGTAATGCACAAAACTTTTATAATATTTCAATTGTACGAAGAACTATTTTGTTATATCGTTTGTTTTTATCAAATTCGTCATTAACTATCGCTTTGGAACAATGTTTTTGTTTATTTAAATATCTGAAAGATCACCTCTAGCTGAAATTGTTGATATTTACTCACCTTGTTATTGCACATTGCATAAATAGTGTACTGCAGTATAATTGCGTTAGATAAGGGTACCTTTAAATACCTGCCTCTCCTCGTAGAAGTTTATTCGGTTTTGATTGCGCTCCGAGATCAGCAGAGATGGCCGCGAAACTGCACTTCTTCGACTTCGGAGGGATAGCGGAGCCGATTAGGTACTTGCTCCACTACGGGGGCAAAAAGTTCGAGGACATCAAGTACGACATCAAAACATGGCCCGACAAGAAGACCAAGGACTGTAAGAAAGTCATTTAATTATTTACTATTGTAAAATTTTAAATTAAGTTTTTAACCCCAATCTCTGAACTTAAAATTTTCATCTTTTCATTTTTTTTGTAAAGAAAAATGGAGTATAAGATTTTCCCGGTGCTTTTTAAACACTTAGCTAAACGGCTGATTGCCACGCGAAGAAAATCTTAACGTACTTACATTATCCAGTTACAATGTAGACAAAATACCTTGAGGCTTTGTTGAGACGTTGTGGTTTGAAAAGCGTCTGGGAAGACGTGGTTCGATTCCCGCAATGGCAGAAATTTCGTCCATTCAACAGATTTGATAGTAGTTTTTATCCCTTTTTATGTGGAATATTTAATTCCAAGGTATAAAAAAAGAATTTCTTGTGACAACACAGAGTATAAAAAATGTGCATATCTGTTGCGGTTGAGTGAGTACATTACACTTATACAAACATTACAAATATTTGGCACACACATACAAACATTTGGCATTTAGCATTTTTACGTACCAATTTATAGCTTTTAACTTTTTAGGGAAATCTGAGATCTTATTGTCTCTTATGTCATAATAAATTTCAGTTTTTCCTACTTTACTTATGACGATTGAAAAAATATTGAAGTATATGTTTACTGTGTCAGTGTAAAATAATTAAAATGAAATAATGTTTCTGTACCTTCTTTATTCGAAAAAGGCTTATCTTAAGCTCTATCTTATTGAACGTCAAAAAAATACCACCGGTTCATTAGACTAAACCTTTCCAGAGAAGAACCGGCTAGAAACTCTGGGCTCCTATTATCTTTTTTTAAATATGAGCATTCAGAATTATCTAAGTATAAAATCAGCAGCAGCCAAGGGACTTGCAAGTGCAGAGCAAGAGTCATTTCCACACATTCCTGTCCCCGATGCATTCCTCGACACTATTATAGGGCAATGGCCCTATAATAGTGGTAATTTCAAGCATTGTGTAAAGTAACCCATTAGGGTAACTTTTACACAATGCTTGAAATTGTTTATAATTACTTGTTTGTGAATGTCACCTATTTTATTATACTAATGGACGTCGAAAGTTCGAAATTCGACCATAATTAGTTTAAAATATAAGTTTGAACAATATTAATCTATTCTGAAATACACAAACAAAAGAGTACATATGCGTGTGTCATTTACAAAGTAGTGTGTATAATGTTTTATACATTGATTTAATGTATTTTTACGCTTAATTAAAAAAAAAAAACTATTCTGCACTCCCTTTCTATGTAAACTATAAGTGTGGGAAATTTCATACTCGTCCGCCCGCGTAAAAAGGGTTACAAAAATTTCGCTCCACGTATTAATATACAGATAAGTTATTGATATATCTATTACAGTACTGCCGTATGGGCAGTTGCCTATGTACGAGGAGGGTGGCTTGAAGTTGACGCAGTCTTTGGCCATAGCCCGTTACGTTGCCTACAAAGTTAACGTTCTGCCCACCGACCCTTGGGAGCAAGCTATGTTGGACAGCATGGCGTTGACGATCTACGATTTCTGGTCGAGTGAGTACGCGTATTCATTCGAGAAATGATTAATGTTTTCCACTCTTCAACCTACTTCGAGAAATACAGGAGGCTCTTTCACGCTTCTTACCAAAATATTCCTCATTTAAGAACTGATTTTAAAAATTATTTGTGCATTGAGTTCGGTTTTTCCGAACGTGGTCCCATAGTAATTTATTTGGTATCGGACCTTGGATTACGGAGATACGTTAGGGGACATTAAATATCTCAATCAATGTAAACAGATTATTTAGTGAGATATTAGAAGTCGGTTTTGTTTTTTGTTAATAATTGCGCGCTTTTTATATTGTGAGACGGTGGCAAGCGAGCTGGCGGTTCACCTGATGTTAAGTGATAACCACCGCCCATGAAAACTTGCAACACCCAAGGGTTGCAGGTGCGTTGCCATCTTTTAATGAAGTGAAACGGAGTCCCGTTTACCTCACTCACCAGACAATACCCAAAAGTGTAACACTACCACTTCACGCCGGTGAACATTATTCTTCACATTCTGTGAGGTCGAGGTACTTTCCCGGACAGACCTGTCCATTCGTGCAACGGCGCAGACTATTGCCCATGCAATATGATAACTGTGGTAGGGTCATCACTACCACAGTTATTACATTTATGTCAATTACCGGTAAATAGCGAGCCTAACGTGGTGATTTCTGGATGAAGAAGTCTGTTTATTCTTACTCTGTACAAACTCAGTATTTGAACGGACAAACCAGCTCTGGCATATACTACGTTAATAAGTAGGTCAGTAGTCAGTTTTCTAGTAAATTTTTCCAGTTTCTCGGATTATTTAACTGTTTCAGGATCGTTTTGCACTCGCGAAAATTATTTTTAAACTTTTACCTTTTATTAGGTAATAGATTATTTGCTAACGGTTCATTATTATTTTGGCTCCTGCGATAGTACAAAAAAGTCAGTTAGTTCAGAAACACAAGACATAATTAAAATGAAATCTTCCAGAAATCGTTGAATTCACCAAGGAACAGGATCCCGCTAAGAAAGAGACAATCAAAGAGGAAATTATCGATGAAACCATCGACTATTACTTTTCTCGTTTTGACAAACAGCTTATGAAAAATAAGGGATACATCAATGGAAAGGTATGTAAGGATATTTCTAAAGTAATCAACATTATCAGCCGTAAGACGTCCAATGTTGAACATAGGCCTCCCCCTGGGGCAGTTGGCCTTAATCATAATTTCCGTAGGAAAATATCATTATTACACATGAAACCTCTTATTTCCTGAATTTATATAATTATTTAATCAAAAAGTATACTGTTTGTTTCAATATCTAATCATATTACAAATCTCAGAAATTACAATAGCAACTGCTATGTGCAAGAAAGCTATAACCATTTGTTACCAAATTCTTTGCTATCGCTTGGGCTAATTTTTGTTCACTCCGATCTAGTTGTCCTGGGTGGACTTTGTTCTCGTCGGGATCGTGGAAGCAGCCAACTTGATCATCGGAGTGGACATGCAGAAGCAGTACCCCAACGTGGATTACCTCATGAAGACTATTGTCTCCTTGCCCGGCGTGAAGGAGTACGTCGCTACCAGAAAGCCATACAAATATCCACTGTACTAAAACTGTTTTAAACAGTAAACGTTGATTAAGAAAAGTTCTCTTTAAATTTTTTACATGCGTTTCCCGTTTCCCGTTACCGATTACTTATTTGAGATTTGAAAAGTTTCGTGTAAATTGGGCGCCTGTTATTATGAGTATCGCCAACGGATGACCGAAAAAAACCAGAACAATTATTTATTTTTTAAAGAAGAATATTATGCAATAATTAAAACTAAAAACAACATAAGTAACTAACGTTAAGCTGAGTCTAAACCCGTTCGATATTAGAAAGCGTCTCGTTTTGCAGTGGCCGATTTCCTATGTTGGCAGCAAAATTCCGATGTTTCCATACGATTCCGAAAGATAATTTTAGGCTAAAGCGGTTGCTTATCTCTTATTTAGAAAGGTGTTTTACACAGTCAAGAGAAATACTAGTGGACGCCGAGAGGTCAAATTTCGACCAAGTTTGAACAATATTAATCTATTCTCAAATACAAAACACAATAAACAAAAGAGTACCTACATATGCATGTGTGTGACAAATACATGGTAGTGTGTGTAATGTTTTCTAGATTTTTTATGTTATTTTTAAGCATAATACATACTAATATTATAAATGCGAAAGTAACTCTGTCTGTCTGTCTCGCTTTCACGCCAAAACTACTGAAACGATTTAAATCTTTGGTACACAGATAGTCTAGAGCTCGAGAACATAGGCTATTTTTAATTGAAAAAAAAAAAATGTTGTAAAGCGTTGAAAGGTTAAAGAAAGATATTTATTTAAGGGCTTCAAAAATAAATATTAGTATTCTGCACTCCCTCTCTATATAAATTATAAGTGTGGAAAATTTTATAGTCCTTCCGCGCAATTCGTCCTCGTAAAAAGGGGTACAAATTATTTGGTTCACGTATCAATATATATAGGTGTTATTACTGTATTGAACCTCTGTTTTATGTATTTCTGAGATTACTAGATGCTGCCCGCGACTACGTCTGCGTAGAATAGCCTGAAGTTACGCATTCAGACAGAAAAACATACATACATAAAAATATGTACATAAATTATAGCCTATGTCTTATTCTGATGTATAAGCTATATTATTGTAAAGTTTTATTAGAATCAATTCAGTAGTATTTGCGTGAAAGAGTAACAAACATCCATCCATATACAAACTTTCGCCTTTATAATATTAGTAAGGGTTTAATTCAAATTGAATGAGTAGCAAAAAAAGTTTTTTGCTTTGGTAGTGCCACACAACAGCCCTGCTGTTGCACGAATGTGCAGGCGCGTCCAGAGGCGTACTAAGGGTGGCGTGAAGTGGAAATATTAAACTTTCGCGTTTCGTCTTGTGAGTGAGGTGTCAGCGGGCACTGTTTTAAAGGTTGCGTTGGCTGCATCTAGCAGGCCGGGTATTGTAGAGTATGGACTTAACATCGGGTGAACCGCCTGCTAGCTTGATAAAATCAAACAGTGTAATTTTTGAAGTGAGAACATCTTTTAGCGCGGTACACATATTCTTAGATGAGATAAAATCTCTGGACTCGCGACACCGTTAGAGATGCAGCTATAGTGTATAGAGAACTTGATTTTACTATGTTCAATCAACACAATATTAGCACGAGATATACGAGATATAAAAGTACAATTGATGCGGTATTCACGAGATATTTAAATAAGCTTAGATGAGATAAAATCTCTGGACTCGCGACACCGTTAGAGATGCAGCTATAGTGTATAGAGAACTTGATTTTACTATGTTCAAACAACGCAATATTAGCACGAGATATAAAAGTACAATTGATGCGGTATTCACGAGATATTTAAATAAGCTTAGATGAGATAAAATCTCTGGACTCGCGACACCGTTAGAGATGCAGCTATAGTGTATAGAGAACTTGATTTTACTATGTTCAAACAACGCAATATTAGCACGAGATATAAAAGTACAATTGATGCGGTATTCACGAGATATTTAAATAAGCTCGAATCAAAATTGTTTATTTAAATTATTTTATTTATCCAAAAAAATGTCTAACGCGCCAAAATAAGTTTTTACTTCTATAGGCACACGCGGAGTGCAACTCGTAATTTTTTTTTAAACCCTCCAACATTGCCTAAGGGCAAGTAAGTAAGCTTTAGATTTTAAGCTTTAGATAGCTTATTTTTGCCTTGAAAGCTTAAAGTAAGTACAGGACTAACAAACCTTTATTGGCCCATCACTGAGTCATCTTGCTAGCAATGAGTAGACAAACCCATTTCAAAATCTAAATAAGTAGTGATTTTCCTCCTATGTCAATAAACAAACTTTGGCACTTATGTTTATGGTAGGTATACGTAAACGTATTATTCTTATTAGGTAGGTTAAAACAACGATGATTTGCTCGACTTGAAATTGACTTTCATGTGTTATGTGCAGTTAATATTCTGCAAAAGTAAACAAGTCGGTAATTTATTATTTCTTAGTATCGCTGAGTCATAATTTGAAAAGATAAAACTTAAACACGACAACGATTAATAAAAGTAATCAAGAATATTCAGAGTTTAGAGTATAAGTATATCTGGTTTTACACACCTACCTATCATAATTTGTATAATGTTCTAATGTTATGTCAGAGTTTGCTGGAAGAAAACTCTTTTTAGGGTTAAGCTCGCCTTTGTACATTATTTGTTTTTGTAATTTTGTTTTCTCTTATACTCTATGTACAATAAAGAATAAAGAATAGAGAATAGAGAATAGAGAATAGAGAATAGAGAACAGAGAACAGAGAACAGAGAACAGAGAATAGAGAATAGAGAATAGAGAATTGAGAATTGAGAATTGAGAATTGAGAATTGAGAATTGAGAATTGAGAATAGAGAATAGAGAATAGAGAATTGAGAATTGAGAATAGAGAATAGAGAATAGAGAATAGAGAATAGAGAATAGAGAATAGAGAATAGAGAATAGAGAATAGAGAGAACAGAGAACAGAGAACAGAGAACAGAGAACAGAGAACAGAGAACAGAGAACAGGGAACAGGGAACAGGGAACAGGGAACAGGGAACAGGGAACAGGGAACAGGGAACAGAGAACAGAGAACAGAGAACAGAGAACAGAGAACAGAGAACAGAGAACAGAGAACAGAGAACAGAGAACAGAGAACAGAGAACAGAGAACAGAGAACAGAGAACAGAGAACAGAGAACAGAGAACAGAGAACAGAGAACAGAGAACAGAGAACAGAGAATAAAGAATAAAGTAATCGTGTTATATTTACATCTTTGAAGTAATACAACAAGTCCGATGTAAAAGACAAAAGTATTAGTTTTATATTTTTTGCTGGTACATTTTAGTGTATGTACACAAACTTTTGATAGAAACTGCCACTTACTCCGGATTAAGATCACAATTTGCGAAGCCGACAGGCGAGGTAACAATACGTTAAGGCTTTAACTTAGACCGGACTTAGAAGTCAAGTTATACATAAATTACTGGGCTCAACAGGTGCTTTGGCTAACTTTCGCAGTAACTTTCTTAGAATTGAGTACTTCAGACGAGAAGTCATAAATTTATAATGAGATGACCATTTGTTGACAGAATAATTTAGAATTAATTTTTATTTTTTTACATCCTTTAGATTCAAGAATGCAAGTTCAACCACAAAGTTACCACCAATTTTTATCCGGGTAAGATTCTATCAATATATTTTATCATTCAGCTTTAATGCCTCAAAACCGATGACACAAAATTCCATGAAAGCAAACAAGAATGTAATGTGTTGGCAATGAGTAATTCTTAAACATAAATCTACAAACTCATTATTTTTGTGAAGACTATGTATTTGTGTCATTTGCTTTAAGAGACTTGCAACGCGGAACTGAATTCTGGTTAAACATTAAACCGGTAATTCGAACGAGAGGTGATTTCGGTTTTTGACAAAATACCCAGTTAATTGGTTAGTTTAAAAATAAACATTATTACTTATATCCAAATCGGACTATAATACTTTTTATGCCACATTATCCTTTCAATGTATATTTTTCCTTTCCTTAGGAATATAATTTATACATAGTGTCCTGCGCATACACTGTACTGTAATTAATGTTTCTGTCGGTATGGATGACTTGAAAACATTACGACATAAAAAAAAATGTTACGCTTCTCCATCCACCGGCTTGAACTGTCTTTTCGATCAATCAGTTAGTGCCGGAGAAGTAAATAAGAAATATGATTATAGTATGTGGCACTCCACATACTATAACCATATTTCTTATTTACTTCTCCCACTGTTAAGCACATGAAATAAGTCTAGTTCTGCATGTATAAATATATACGCAGTGTTAATATCTAGATCAATCAACAAACTGTTCCGAATATTTAGCTATTCTAGGTTCATACATCTTATACTTGGAAATTACCGCCACTAGAAGTCACATTTTGTTGGAAATCTTCAATCGAGTCTAGTGAACCACGGATGTTCAAAGAAAGATGCAGTTTACGAAGAAGTAAGTTTCGCTTTGTAAGAGTTAGCAGTTAGGCACATCTTAAGAAACTTTTCGGGGAGTTCACGTGAAGTGTTTTCTCAAAATCAACAGCTTATACGTTGAAATTTGTGGAACAAAAATATAACAAATTAAAGGGATTAAATACAGAAATAAATAAACTACTAGTTTTCTTTAATAGCAGAAAAATCGTAATAAGTAAATTTAAAACAGATTGACGATATAAGACTATTAAAACATGTAGAAAAAGTACGAAAAGATTGTCGCCGCTGTGGGAATCGGACCCACGTCTTCGGCATTCGCGGCCTGACGCTCTAGCCACTGAGCTAAACGGCTGATAGCCACAGCGACGAAAATCTTAACGCCTTCTTTCTACATTGTTATTTTAGCATTTTAGCATTTGAAGGCTAGAGTGTCAGGCCGCGAATGCTGTTATGCAGGATGGCAAAAACCTTCCCCGTAACAGATGTATGGTGTTGTGCGTAAGTGTAAGGAGGGAAAATGAACAGCATAGTTTTTTCATAACATACGTGAGCAAAATTTTAATCCATATAGAGTACCTACTACATTGAGCAGGTAAGATACTTTCCCGGGGTCATAGAGAATTGCGTCTTTGAGTTACCGTGTCCCCAGCCCATATGACAGAATGGTACTTTGTGAGTTTTTAGGAGTCCCACATACTCCTGCCGCTCCATAAGTTTAGTGGCACGGAATCCAAAAAGGATTTTTCCCATGCTTGAAAAAACATAAGGTACTATGACTAGATTAGCGATAGTACTGACAAGTCTGGTATTCAATATTCGTATTCAATACGCTGTTGGATAACTGAAGATTAGAGGTCATGTATAGAAGTAAAAAAGGAGCTTACTTGGTATTTATTTTACCCTAGCTTGGGACCACGGTTGTGAATGATAACTATGTATTTCTGTTATTTTATATGTAACGATTAATATTTTTAATAAAAACATCTACTGCCCTGTAATTACGGGCGACAAAGAAAGATAATATAATGTAGTATCTTTGAATATGATGTCATGTTGGATATACGTAAAACAAAAGGTATTTCTGCTAATTTACGTAAATAAGGACATTGTTCAGGACCAGTAAGCTATTTTAAGCATTGATTTTCATACAAGAAATTGTAAATAATCAACGGTTTATCTTTGTTATTACAAGGTAATTTATTGATTTAGCATGTCATAACAGAACAGAGATAATTTACCTGGGAATGACTGCGAAGTGATGATGCTTAAAATGTTATTTCATTTGCAACCCCTTAGGTGCTGTATCTGAGGGGTTGCAAATGCGCTGCCAAAGTTGTTTATGTTGTAACTGTATCTAAAGCAAGTCATGTTCGTGTTTATGTCTAACTGTATGCAATGACTAACGTAGATCCGACTCGTTGTTAATTTCTTTTTAACTTCGTAATGTCATCGCTAAACGAATCTCTTTTTATAGAGATTTTATCGTTTTTAAATTTTTTGTTACGATGGTTTTGTGATGGTTTATGTGGCTATGATGACATTAATTTCATGTGTATGTAATGCAGCCACACTGAAAAACGAAACCAAACAAGCAAGCGAATTCAGGTCGAAAAACAGTACGGGATTTATTGAGGCAATAAATATCCATCACTACCCTTGCTAATCAATTACGTTGACATCGTGTGCAGCTGAATCTGGACTCATTTAAAAGTCAAAACAATTTTTCCTGTTGTACTGGAAATTTTTATATGTTTGATTTATTTCTGATGTTGAATGCAATAACCAAATGCCTTTATTCTTATTTTTTCGGTGGTAGGGCCACGCAACAGCCTCGGCTGTTGCACGAATGGGCAAGCTCGTCCGGGTAAGTACCACGACCTCACAGAAGACCGGCGTAAAGTGAAAATATAATACTTTCGCGTTTCGTCTGGTGAGTGAGGTGGCCGGAGCCCAATTTTCATAAAGGTAGTCAACGCATCTACAAACCTTTGCGTGTAGCAGATGTCCATGGGCGGCGGATTTCAATTAACATCTGGTTCTATAGGATCTAATTTTGTTGATTGCTGTATTTTCTTTCAGTTATATACAGATTGTATAAAGCCTTATTGGACACAGAGCTCATGCAAACGCTAGGTTTTCAACGGAACGTTTTAAAACGGAATTTCGCTCGAGTAGAGTGTGAACAGTAGGGGTGAAGACATGACCCTTAAGGGACCCTTAAGGGATCGAAAGAGTTGTTAAAAAAAAACGCTCGAAAGATACGAGAGTTCGTCTGGCACAATAAATGCAAACAGCGTCTGAAGGAAGGCATTGGGCCAGACTGTCGAATGCTTAAGTGGAGTATGAAAAGATCACACTCGTGAATATTTAGTCGGGTTCAGGCCCTACTGGAAGGCACAGCTGAAGAGAAGCACTTTGAAAGTACTAGCCAACAGGGAGATTTTATAATGTTGTTATTATTGTAGCTGAGGACTAGGCCAGAACGGGATTATTATTATTATTTATATATTACTCTTCTGTCTTATTCGTTGCTTATTTTGTCCTCTGTTATTTAACAAAGTCGTGTTTATTAGTAACAAATAGGGATGCTTTCATTTTCTTTGCCCACAATAATTTTTAATCGTGTTAATTCACATTTTGTGTCGATCCCACCTAATCGTAGGAGGGATAGGGGCAGAAGGATCTTTGAGCCTCTTTCATAGTCAAAGTCAAAGTGTCTTTATTCAATATAGGCTTAACTTAAGCTCTTATTGAACGTCAACAAAAAATCTACCACCTGTTTACTAAACTAGCACAGTAAACTGCAACACTAAACTGCAACACTAAACTGCACAGAGAAGAACCGGCAAGAAACTCTGCGGTCTTGTTCTTTTTGTTATTTTTTTGTTGCTCTTGGATCTTACTTCATGTATTTTTGAATTATTTAATTGTATTTCTGATTTAAACTCAGTTAAGAACATTTTAATAAATATCAATAAATAATTTTTTTGCCAGTGAACTCGCTTAACAAAAGATTCAAATGAACAAATCATACATAATAGCAATATCCATGAATATATGATGATTGATGTTTGACGCTTCGTATATTTTTTGATAAGGGAACAACTTTCGACCTAGATTGCTTTTGTTATTGGGCGTCTCTAGGGACCGTGAGGTAGCCTTCTACATATCAAACATGACAGGTCTAGTAGAGAATAATAAAAAAAATATGTTTTCTTTTTTTTATATACTCGTACGTGGGTCGTAATATTTTTTTTGTAAAAGAACATCGCCCTTACTTTAGGACAAAATTATCCTGTGTTGTAAGTACGTTTTTTAAAACATAAATTTCGCGTGGACAAACACCCAGATGCGAAACCACTATCTGTGGGTCACACAAATAGTTGTCCCGTGTGGGAATCGAACCCACAGCCCCCGACGCCCCCCACGCCAAAGCCAATACCTCGGCAACTGCGCCACGGAGTCATCAATATGTTTTTAATTGCGTTTTAGCTATCTTATTCACTTACAGTAAACTTCACTGAATTACGCACATTACAACTCATTAGCTCAACCACTTACTGGATTCGAACTTAAGCTGTGGCTCATGGTAGAAGTGTCGGTTTCTGACAAGTGCCAAAAACTGTCATCTATTTTTCTAACTGGGCAACGGGAAAAGTAATGGGAAGAAGCCGGAGCAAACAAGCCTTGCGCGATGTTTATTTGAAGAAACTTTCCAAGAAAATCGATAACAAATAAATCACACTATTGCGGCTGCAAGA